TCATTAGTTTTTGATGTAGTGTTCCATGATTCATTGTTTGCGTATAACACCCAGTGCTCCATTCAGTACATGCCCTCTTTAATACCCATCACCAGAACTCTCTTATGGACAAGATCGTTCAGCTGTCAGTAAACCTTACTAATTGAAGCTGTCTATTATTCCAGATCCTACTTTAGTAGCTAACATTAGAAACACAAGAATGCCCAAACTTTTGAGGAACTCACCTTCCAGGCAGATAAAGAGGATTACATCTGCTTATATAAATTACTAATATCAGCCATGCCTCAATATTAAGAGTCAAATGAAAGGTCCAAGTATGAAGTGGTGCAGAGAAGCAGAGGCTTCTGGTGAACATATCCTGGAGCTGTCAGGGCAGGTTCCAGATTGTGAAGAGAATAGATTTCAGTGTTGAGAAATGACCAGAAGGTTTGGGATTGGTAGATAACATGGATTGCTTTTTACTGTTATTGATGCTGGACAGCAGGGATGTTGTCCTGTGGATCACTAAATTATTGAGTTGGGTGGATCTTATCCAAGTCATATAATCTAGGCTTTTGTATATGAATTGGTAGACATTACTTTCTGGCTATTCAGATGGAGAACTGAAAATAGAAAGCACTAGCCTGTTTTTCTGGTTAGTGGGCAGTGCAGAGAAAACCTTGATGAACTGAGGCACTGAACTTTATCCTACAACTGGTTCCAGAGTATATGAGTTCACTGGACCAGAGAGGAAGCCCTCTGCTCCTTCTCCTGTCCACATATCTACATTCCATAGGAAACATGTTCTCCAGCAGCAAAATGAGCCATTGTCTCCTCTCCTTCTACCCCCTCACATCATCCAGTGTCATCTTTTGGTCCTTTATGTGATACAATTCAAAGAACAGAAGATAACTGGAATCTGCTTTATGATCACCTTATCTCTCAATTACTCTTCCATTCCAAAACTCCTCTCTACATATAACAGCACAGAGAGATACACACAATATAAACATAGAAACATTCACACATATTTCTAAACACACATGGATGTCCCAAATATTCTTCTTTAAATAAGCCATGAGGACATTGTTTTCTCTTTTACTGATTTCTCATCTCTATTGCTCCTCTAAATCATATATACATATATATGATTATATACATATATATAGAACAGAGTATAAATAATTCTTATATTTTAAAAGAAAGAAATCACACTGTCCAACTACTCAACTTTTCTCATAAGCTTAGCTTCTCTGAATAGTTTATGGTTTAATGAAAGATAATGGACCTTAGAATTAGTAAATCTGGTTTTGAATTTTGAATCTGTATCTATTTTACCTTTGCTATACTGTTTTATCTTGCTAGGCCACTTCCCTTTCTTTAAAATAGGATAAAAACATCTATATCCATTTTTCCTGGGATTATATAAAATTATATATAAGATGGCTAGTAAATGTTGACATATACAGAGGATCTTAATTCACCTCCTTTTCTCTTAACCTACCCTCCTTCTTCCAATCAGTGAGAGGATATTACTCTCCTTAGTTTCCCTAGTGGCTAGGCTCATCCTTCCCTCAAAATTTCCAGGCTCAATATATATTTCTCTCATCTAGTCTTTATCCATAGCTCTATCATCTGTCATTTATTTATCTACCCACCAATACATCTAATGTAAATTAGATTATTTGAGTTTTTATCATGTACCAATCACTAAGCTTGTCTCTAGAGAAAATACAAAGATGAACACATATGTTTTATATTCCCAGAGAGCCAGCATTCTAGAGGGAGAAAGAAATGTGATCAAGCAATAGAATTTTAGTGCTTTAAAAAAAAATACATAAAGTACTATTGAAGGAGAGTCAATAGATTGAGTGATTTGGTGTTGCAGAGAGATTCTTGGAAGGTTTTCACAGAGGAGATTCACTCTTTTTTTTTTTTTTAATGTTTAACAGTGGCTTTATTAGGTGAATGATTGAAAGCATTCAACATTAAATTCAATTTACTTCACATTAATGTTTGCAAAAACATTATTAGCAATTCTTAAATATTTCAAATCAACCAACTCAAGGACAGAAGGCATGCTTATAAGTCTTCTGAGGTGATGTGAAGACTGAAAGGAGCCTAGGACTTGAATCCAGGTCTCTAACCACCCCTGCCATGGGTCACACTTACGATACTTCTGGCAGGATCAGGAAGGGGTCTGTACCTCTCAATCTTGAAGTTCCCTCATATGAGTTCACCAGTGATGACATAGTAATTGCTGGTTAGAGAGTCACTCTTAATATCTGTGTTCATCAGGTTGAGAAGAAGAAGAATGAAACAAAAATCTCAACAGCTTTCTGTTTTCCTGTCTTGCTAGTCTTCCCATGTGTCCCCATGTGGTAATAGCCCTTCATTAATATTTTGCCTTGGCTTCTGACACTATTTATTCCACCGAGTTGAGGGAGTTTTGAATGCAGAAACTGTTCTTTATTCATTTCTGTTTCCCTGGCCATCAGCAGTAACTGACATTAAAATAATCATTTAGAGTCTAAATGGCTGACATAAGTCAGCATGTTTGTAATCCATATCTCATTTGGCATTAGTTTTCCTGATTCTTAGTTTGTTTTTTTCAACCATGTATAATATAATAATATTAAATATTATGGCAGAAAAAGCAATTAGTCTTTTCTTTTCCCCTCTGGAGTAACAAGTCCTTTCTATCACCATCCTCAGTAGACTGGAGGAGGGGGAGAAAATAACCAACAATCCCTTATATTTATGTTTATGTTTATATAGCAACTGACAGGGCCTGGTACTAGCAAATTACTTGCATCCACTCAGACACAAGACAGCAAACCTACATACTGAAAAATAAGAATACTTATGGCTGGCCATATCCACACAACATATGGGCTGAGTATATCATTCCTTGCTAGCTCTTCATTGATGATTCAATGCCCTACGTACAAATTTTTTTTTAAAAGATTTTATTTATTTATTTGAGACAGAGAGAATGAGAGACAGAGAGCATGAGAGGGAGGAGGGTCAGAGGGAGAAGCAGACTCCCCGCTGAGCAGGGAGCCCGATGTGGGACTTGATCCCGGGACTCCAGGATCATGACCTGAGCCGAAGGCAGTTGCTTAACCAACTGAGCCACCCAGGTGCCCCCCTACGTACAGATTTTAAAATCAGTGATGATGGTACCAGCATTCAGTGAACAAGTCCTAAATAGAATTGCAATGGTCATCCTAAATATGGATTCCAGATTCTGCCTCCTTTATAACACCATCTCTCTTTTCTGTGCAGCTGCCCTTCTATGTACTTTCTCACTCAGTGAGCTACTTGATATTCCAACTTGTGATGTCACCTCAGCCTTCCATGTCCTGCAGTGATTCCCTTTTAGTTATTAGTCCCTACTTCCATCCCACCCATGCTTTTTACAAAGTCACTCATCACATGTTGCTGAGTGCTTCCCATGAATTTCATACTGGAGTTTTGTCTAGGCTTACCTACTTTGCCTAGCTTAGGATGCCTGAAATGTATTCCAGAATACTGTTTAGGATTTTTCACAGAATTCATTAGAGCAGTCTGCTCACAGTGAGTTGGTCCAAAGTCACATGCTAATTTTAACTATCCATGGAAAGGACAGAAACAAGTATCCCAAGATGTAAGATGAAGAAAAGGAGATCTAGACCTAGTTATTTTCAGTATACCTGGAAAAGTACATGGGGAAACAGAATTAAAACACAAGATAAATTCAAGTCCCATACACATGTGGAGTGGGGAAGGGAGAAATTATAGGGACTATTCCACTATAGGAAAAAGAACAAAGAAACCCTGATACCAAAAGGAGACTTCTAATAGAGTATACTAGGAGGGTGTGGCTGATGATAGAAGTACAAGGATACTTCTGGATACAATATCCCAGACCAGCTTCCAGCAAGGACATTATGGAGTATGCTATCACATGTGCCCAGTGGCTCTCATGTGCTTGTCCATTGTTTCCTAAGCAATTTATACAGCTTGGAGATTTAATGCAAAGACCCATCAATTGTAATTGTGGTTGTTGTTGTTTTGTTAGTGTGTGTGCATGTGTATGACATAAGCCTATAGGCATTTCCTACTTCAAGCCTCAGGACTAGTCTGGGCAGTAGGGTGGGGATGAGCCTAAAGAGATTGATGGTTATAGTTGGGAGAGGGTAGAGGAAGAAAAATGGGGCCAAGTTTTGATAAGAAAAATTCAATACTGTGGAATTATGTGATAGGTACCATAACTGGACTGGGGGCTTTGAATATAGAGAAACAACTGTGTAATTTGGGAAGAGTTTATAAATGAGTTAGAACTTGAAAAAAGGATCACTATGACAAACATTATCCTTGTTGTCTCTCTTTTCAGGGTGTGTTCTCAATTCACCATGGTAATTTTTAATAACACCACATCATCTTCCCCAAACTTCCTACTCACTGCATTTCCTGGGCTGGAACTTGCTCACGTTTGGATCTCCATCCCTGTCTGCTGTCTCTACATCATTGCCCTCTTGGGAAACAGCATGATTTTGTTTGTCATCGTCATTGAGAGGAGTCTCCACAAGCCTATGTACTATTTCCTCTCCATGCTGTCAACTGTTGATCTATGTCTGACCATCTCAACCCTTCCCACTGTGCTTGGGGTTCTCTGGTTTCATGCCCGGGAGATTAGCTTGAAAGCTTGCCTCATTCAAATGTTCTTTGTGCATGGCTTCTCCTTCCTGGAGTCCTCAGTGCTCGTAGCCATGGCCTTTGACCGCTTTATGGCTATCTGTAACCCACTGAAGTATGCCACTGTCTTCACAGACATGATAATCCTGGTGATTGGACTGGTCATCTGCCTGCGGCAAGTTATTTTCACCTTTCCCATGGTTCTAGTCTTGAAGAGTGTATCTTTCCATTCAGACAAAGAGCTTTCCCACCCATTTTGCTACCACCCAGATATGATCAAATACACATATCCCAGCCCCTGGATCAACAATTTTTGGGGCATGTTTCTTCAGCTCTACCTGACTGGCACTGACTTGCTGTTCATTCTTTTCTCCTACGTTCTGATTCTCCGAACCGTCTTGAGAATCGTGGCCCCTAAGAAGCAACAAAAAGCTCTCAGCACTTGTGTCTGTCACATCTGTGCTGTCACTGTTTTCTATGTGCCCATGATCAGCCTGTCCTTTACACACCGCCTTCTCAGCTCCACCCCAAGAGTGGTCTGTAGCATTCTGGCCAATGTTTACTTGATTTTACCTCCTGTACTGAACCCTATCATTTATAGCTTGAAGACCAAGGCGATCCGCCAGGCTATGCTCCAGCTGCTCCAGTTTAAGGGCTCACGGGGCCCCAGTGTGAGGCATCTTAGAGGACGGTGGGATTGAAGGGGAGGTAAGTTACATTTAAGTAGGGAAGGGATTTGGGTCTGTGCCATCCTCAGGCATTTTGGTTACTAAGGCAGTTTCAATTAAGTCACTGGAGCAGAAAGAGGAGAATACATTTCCCCTAAACTTACTGAAGAGTTAAACAAAACAAAACAACACTATAGTTCAAAACCAAATTAATTGTGTTTGCCCCTCAAACATTTAAAACAATTACATGGAACTCCTGTGCACATTAAAAGCATGATAAGATCACTTTATTCTAGTTGAATAATTTAATTATCTGCTTAAAAATGGTAACTCTTTGACCAAAAATAAATGCACATTAAAAACAAAATAAGATCATTTTATTCTGGTTGAACAATTTAATTATCTGCTTAAAAATGATAATTCTTAGGCCAAAAATAAATGACTATAATTTTCTGACTGCACTCAGATGACCAAAAATCATTTATTTCTGCGGTCAAATTTCCCAGGGGGCATCACAGATTTTTCCTTGAGCTGGTAAATGAAAGAGTTATGTGTGTGCAAAGACATGCACATTGCACTGTGTAATTTAACTAGGAAATTTTTGCACACTGGTTTCAGTTCCTAAAGTCACCTCTAGGGAGCCCCATCTCCTTACAGATGCACTCCCCGAACCTCTATCTTTTCTTGAATCTTTTCTCTCCTTAGCAAAGTGAAACTGTCACAGAACTAATTGCTACTTGTTATACCTCCAGTGCGCCCAATATCTAAAGTCACATATTGCCTTTCGTTATTTTTCCCATTGCCTAGATAATCTAATTACAGTTCTTGATTCTGATTCTGTAACACCTCTTCCGTGTCAGCTCTGCCTCAGGACAGCACCTTTTTTTCTATTTGCCCTTGTTTCTTGGGTAGTTAATTTTTTACCTATCTATTGGGCTTCTTGACCTTTTGGTGTACTTGTCATTGTAGAATTGCACAGTGACTTTGATGCTTCTTAGTAGGAAATCTTTGGAGTATCTTTCTTAACAATATTTGTTTTGTCAAGAAGTAACCTCACTATCGAGTTGATAGGATTTGGAATTTTCCTGTTTTCTTTCACATAGAGTTATGAAACTTTGTTCCACTCAGGATAATTCATGTCTGAGCACAGGAGAACAAGCAGATATTCTGATCTGAGCCACCTGTCTCCTTTCCCTATATCAACTTCCTACTCCTGGCAGACAGGGGATACCATTTCCAAACTCTGGTGTGTTTGCCCCGGCCTTCTGTTCAGCTCAAGCTAGTGTAATGCCTCAGGGTTGTAGGGCCTTTTTAGAGTATAGAAAATTCTGAATTCCAAGAGTTTTAGTTGAACAGTTGTAGAAATGTGCAAGCATTCTTCCAGTTTTATGATGGTCAATATTTAAGGCAGTCTGCTGCATTTGTGTTCATCTTTTTTTATTCCAAATGTGCTTTTCATATCTAGCTCAAAAGGCAACTCACCTGCTCAATACCAAAAACACTTTTATCAGTCTTCTTCATCCCCCTAGTAATTGTTTTTTTTTTTTTTAAAGATTTTATTTATTTATTTGACAGACAGCGAGAGAGCACTAGCAGGAGGAGCAGTAGAAGGAGAGGGAGAAGCAGGCTCTGCACCGAGCAGGGAGCCCGATGCAGGACTTGATCCCGGGACTCCAGGATCATGACCTGAGCTGAAGGCAGTCGCTTAACCTACTGAGCCACCCAGGCGCCGCCCCCCCAGCAATTGTTAATAGGACATGAATTTGTTTTGTTGTTATTTCAAGGAATGTATTTAATATATTTGGAGGTTGTTCGGATTATAAATGTCATGTCTGATTATAAATGTCTGATTATAAATGTATACTTATACACACCTATATATAATATATATAATTAAAATTTTGTGATTAAAAAGATAACAAAAATCATTCACAATCTACTAATGAGAGATTTTATGATATATAAGTGAATCTTTTTTTAGTAGCCAACATATGTGTGCACACATACTTTTTTTTAAAGATTTATTTATTTATTTGAGAGAGAGAGCATATATGCAGGGGGCAGGGGCAGATGGGAGGAGGAGAGGGAATCCTCAAGCAGACTCCCCACTGAGCATGGAGTCCAACTCAGGGCTTGATCCCAGGACCCTGAGATGATGACCTGAGCAGAAATCAAGAGTTGAATGCTCAAATGACTGAGCTACCCAGGTACCCCTGCACACACATGCATTTATGAACTAGGATACTAGTGTATACTCAAAATGTATATCTTACTTATTTGCTTGATATTATTTATCATTTTCTGTTAATAATATATCAGATTTTTATATTAGACTTTATATTAGACTTACTTCCACTAGGAAGCTCTCTCCTTTGATTCTCCACTAAAATAGGCCAGTTACCAGTCTTTTATTTGCTTTCTTATATGTGTACTTAAACTTACCACACTTTCCTCAGTGAATTTAATTATTTATTTACTTGATCTCCCCACCACCAGACTGTAAGCTCCTTGATAGCAAGTCTAAATTTAAGTTTCATTTAATCCTTAACATCTAATACAATGCTTAGCAAATGCCACTTAGTTGTTGATGCTGTTTCATAGGTGAATAATATTTGTTATTATTTGTATATCATGGTTTATGTTATTTATTACTTAATATTTCAGTAGTTTACATATTTTTATCATAGAAAATAATCCTTGATATACATTATAAATAAATATTTGATCACACCTCTGATTATGTTCTTAGATTCCTAGAATATGAATTATTAAATTTAGAAAGAAGCAAAATAATGGTTTGGTGTAGTGCATGAGGTTGTAGGCTCTGGAAATGTACTACCTGGATTTATAAAGCTCCTAACACTTTATAGTTCTTTGTTTTTGGAAAAATTGTTGAACTTCTCAGAGCTTTAGCTTCTTAATCCATGAAACAGGAGGAAGTAATAAAATCTGCCTTCCCACATTCTTGCAAAAGTTAATTGAGTTTATACAAGTAAGTATATAGCCCAATGTCTGGTACCTGGTGAACGTTGGATTATACTGTATGTTAATTAACTGGAATTTAAATAAAAACTTATCTTTGTACTTAATTCCTAATTTATTTTAGTTTATTTTTGTGTGTAATAAAAGATCACACACAAATATGGTTTCTAAAGTAGGTTGTAATTTTTTCTACCACTATTATTTGAATAACCTATTTTCAATGAGGTTCTGATATTCTTTAATTATATATTATTTTCATATCATTTAGAGTATATTGCAGTGTGTTTATTCTTCTTTGTTCTTCCCATTGATTTGTTGAGCAAACTACACACAATTTTATAGCTGTTTAATAAATTTCTCTATCTTATGAAACTATTTTACAATTGCTATTTATTTTTTTCTTATATTCCCAGTTGACAGTTGAAAATCTGTTTTAAAATTATTTTGGTACATTCTCAATGAAATATTACTGGAAGCTTGATTGGAAATGCATTAAACCTCTATTATAATTGAGGAAAACAGATTGTAGCCTATTCACTCTTATGATCCAGAAAAACATTTATTGACACCTTATGACTTGAGCAGTTTCTTCTTGTAAAGATCTGAATTTCTGAGTTGAGGGCAAATACTAAAGAATGGAAGATAAATATTCTGCCTTGTTTCTCTCATGACAACCTGTTTGCTTTTCCTTGTGGCTACACAGGACATGAACCATTTATCAGGGCAGCTTCTTTGACTTAAAATTTATAGTTATTCCTTACTAATTTTGGCAATAGTTTTTTTTTTTTTAATCATTTTAGATGTTCTGTATGCTTGTAATTTATTATCATATCCTGAATTGTCAAAGGTTTTTTTTTGTATGTGTGCCTGTTTTGTCTTTTTTTCTAAACAAGTTGGGAGATGTGTCAGACTACTATCCACATGTCATTTATATACAGTGTACAGGTCTGGAGATATGCCAACAAATTTGATGTATACAGTTTCTTTAAGGAAACAAAATATAAGTAAGAAAACAGACAGGTGAACTAAGAACATAATTGGAAACAACATGGGAGGAAGCCCAAAAGTTTGTCTTGACTAAACTATGGGCATCTAGACAAGGTCAGCTATTGAACAATAAGAACTCAGTTAAACTCACCAGGGACATAAAATGTATATGAATGTTTATTCATCAGAGAACAACTTCTTCAAAACTGGTTCTTTGGAACAAATAATACTATATGTGAGTTCAACTGAGGCAATAAAACATTGAAATTGATTACCAATAGTTTTTTTCCCAATTCACAGTACAAACTTTTTAAGGGTTTTGGTTGACTTATTCTAAATTTTATGTTTTATACCTCTGTCTACTATGAAGTACTCACAAATAAAAGATGAACAGGAAACAAATCAATTTTATAGAGCATATTGAGATAGCCAATCTAATTTAGTTGACTATTTTTTAAAAATGGAACCATATATGTATGAATATCATTTTATATTGCTTAATATATGGTCATATTTTCTGCTAGCTTGTTTAGTGTTATTGAATATATCATAGTTCAAAATACCAAGTGCTTAAACAAGCATGAGATCCATTATTTTAAAGTAGTAAAGAATATCAGTGTTTTATTTTTTTATTTTTTTTAAAGATTTTATTTATTTGACAGAGAGAGACACGGTGAGAGAGGGAACACAAGCAGGGGGAGTGGGAGAGGGAGAAGCAGACTTCCCGCAGAGCAGGGAGCCCGATGTGGGGCTCGATCCCAGGACCCTGGGATCATGACCTGAGCCGAAGACAGACGCTTAATGACTGAGCCACCCAGGCGCCCCAAGAATATCAGTGTTTTAAAAATTACTGAACTACTAGCTTTCTTGTCTTCTACCAATAGTAGAATTGTTCCTCTCTTCTCCTTTTAGTAACTATAATTTCTTGGAACCCTGTTGTAATATGGAGAAAAAATCTGGTCTGTCTTAAAGAATGTTATGAGAGAGCTTATTGTCATAATTCAAGGCTATGAAAGCTCTAACATAAAAGAGAATCACTGATTGTCTCTATTTGATTACTAAGGAAAGAGCAAAGAGGAAATTTTTAACCAATTTGCATTTGACAATACACTTCTTTCCTTAAATGGAAAATCAAGGATTGCATTAAATAGACTGAAGACCCCTCAACAGATACATGTCTGAAGTCTGCCTGAAAGAAATCCATAATTGGATTGGGGTAACATTCTTTAACTTCCAGTTCCTTTAGTATTCATTTTCTATAAGGGGGCACAAGCTCTACTCCCATGTGTATTTATCCTTGTGCTGTAATAAATAGTGTAACTAAAATTCCAAATCAGTATATTGATTCATGATTTTAATAGTATTGCAAAACTTCTCTCTCTCTCTGTGTCAAATAAATAAATAAATAAAAATCTTTAAAAAATAGTATTGCAAAACTATTCCATACTTACCTGTCAATGCCCATGTCAGTCCTAGGCTCACAGACCTCAGTGCCCAGCTCATATGTTGTAGTGATGATAAGAATGGTTAAGGAAGATAAGAATAAATATCCGTAATACTTTGCATAATAAATATCCATAATAAGAAAAAATATCCATAGTTGTTTTTATCTTGTTGTTAACTATCAGTGGCTATCTGAAATATATTATTTTATTCTCTGATCTTGGCTGACCTTGCCTTACTTTTTCCCATACCTTCATTTTAGATGTAATATTCCCCAAACCTTCTCATGAATTTGCCGTGTCTTCACACAGTATACAATGGGGTTCATCAGAGGTGGTACTAGCAAGAAAATGTCAGCAATGAGGATCATGACCACTGGGGACTTGTGCTTGCCAAAACGGTGCATGGAGGCCAAAGACAATGATGGGCACATAGAAGATGAGCACAGCACAGATGTGGGAGACACAGGTGTTGAGGGCCTTGAGCCGCTCCTTATGGGATCCAATGTCCATCACAGTCTTCAGGATGAATATGTAGGACACAGCAATGAACACACTGTCTGACATCATACAGAGGGCAATGAAGAAACCATAGAAAAAGTTGACCATGTTGTCGGAGCAGGCCAGCTTCATGACATCCTGGTGCAGACAATAAGAGTGAGAAAGAAGGCTTTTCCTACAATATGTCAATTTTTTGAGAGTGAAAGGAAATAGGAGCACTAAAAGCATGCTTTTAATGAGAAACACCAGGCCCATTTTGGCAACTCTGGCATTGGGAGAGGATAGAGCTATATCTCAGAGGGTTGTGTATGGCCAAAAAACGGTCAAAAGACATGACCAGGAGCACTGAAGACTCCATATCTGTGAATCCATGGATAAAGAATTCTGGAGCAGAACAGGCATTTGGAGAAATTCCTGTAGCATTGAAAACAAAGATCCTCAGCATAGTAGGGAGGGATGAGAGGGAAAGGCCCAGGTCAGAGACAGCCAGCATGGAGAGGAAATAGTACATGGGGGCATGGAGTGAGGGCTCTGTCCTGATCACAAAGAGGATGGTGCAATTGCCAAGGATGGCCACCAGGTACATGAGGCAGATGGGGACAGAGATCCAAACATGAACATGCTCCAGTGCTGGGATTCCAATCAGGAAGAAGGTGGTGATCTCAATTTTAGAGGAATTGAGAGTGTGCATGA